GAGCAGGAATATGAGGAGAAGAAAAAACGCAGGGAGGTACAGACAGGACAGGACAGGACAGACAGACAGGACAGGACAGACAATTGTCTCATAAACCCACCCCCTCAAGGGTGGCACCTGACACCCCCAATGCAAGACCCCACATAACTTGGGTGGGAGCGGGGAGGAAACAGGATGGAGGGCACAAGACGAGGAACACCAGGGACAAAGGAAGAAAAAAGAAAGACCGCCAAGTAGGAACCTGGGGACAACAACCAAAAGGGAGGAAAACCCAAGCCCAGTAGTTCAGGTGAAAGGCCAGAAGACCATCCAGCATGGGACAAGCATCCAGGTGGATGGTTGGGAGACCATCCAGAATGGGGTAAGTGTTCAGGCAGCAGTCCAGGAGACCGTCCATTGTTCCTCTGTGGTGGTGTCCACCTGGAACCTCCCCAACTCATGCCAAAGAGAGGTGAGGAGATTGTTGACTCTGCAGCAGGCGAGGAGGCCGATGACCCTGAAGCAGGCAATGAGGACAGTGTCCCTGCAATGGGCAATGAGGTCAGTGACCCTGAAGCAGGTGTAGAGACCTCAAGAGTAGCAGCTGGCATAGAGCTCTCAGAAGCAACAGCTGGTGTAAAGACCTCAGGGTCTGTAGCTGGTGTGGAAACCAGGGAGTCTTTAGCTGGTGTGGAAACCAGGGAGTCTTTAGCTGGTGTGTAAACCAGGGAGAGGTCTACGTCTCCAACACCAACGGAGAGGCTTGGAAGAAGCAGATTGTGGTCTCCCACGCCTACAGACACGAAGAAGTATGGGACATCAGCTCTGATGCCCACAGAGACGTAGGGGTGTGGGTTGTTGTCCCTCATGCCCACGTACACACTCAAGTGTGCTTCGTCATGGCCGAACCCTATGTAGGCACATGAATGTGGGTTTGGCTGCTCCATCAGTAGAGGATGGCTCAGTTTCTTCATTGGTAGAGGCTGACTCTACTGCTTAGTTAGCGCAAGAGACATGCTCTGCTGCTTCTTTGGCTGAGGAGGTGTGGCTGCTTCAGGAGCTGTAGGAGGCGTAGCTGCTTTGGGAGGTAATGTCTCCTGCAGACAAGTCGGTAGACGAGCCAGGCTGATCGGTAATGGGAGGGATGGGCGGCAGTAGGGAGGAGTGCAGCCTCCACTCCTCCTTCACCGCCACATCGAAAATGTCCCACATCCCTGGTATGTTGATTGGTAGCTGGGCAAACTCACTGACGACATCTTATATTATATAAGATGTGAGATTTTACACTGACACTAATGAGACGAGTGGGGAACACCTGCAGTGATTAGGATTTGGGTCAGCTGTGCACAGGAGCAGGAACACAAGAAGAAAAAACACAGGGAGGTGCAGACAGACAGGACAGGACAGACAGTTGTCTCAAAACCTCCCTCATGAGGAAGACACCTCCAGCAGAACCAGGATCAGGACAAGTGACCATCTACTTCGAGGACAGGAAGGAGGAACGGATACACAATGGCAGGACGAGAATGGAGGCAAGCATGTTGAGATAGAAATAATTTCTAATGTTAACTATTCATTTGCAAAAACTAGGTCAATTTGTCCGCTAGTAGTCTAAGTCTATAGCTACATAACAAGCCAACCCTATAACCTATAGGATTTAACAAAAAGGAAAGACTTAAGTCCAGTCTTAAAACTGGACAATGCGACTGCCTTACAGACAGAAATTGGAAGTTGGTTCCACAAGAGAGGAGCCTGATAACTGAAAGATCTTCCTCCCATTCTGCTTTTGGAAACTCTAGGAACCACAAGTAAACCTGAAGTAATTTCCTCCACTGATGAAACCAACTTGATAATAATATTGGTGTACTTAATGATTCTGCTTATTGTGAAATCCATCCATCCATTCATCCATTTTCTTTTACCCGCTTCTTCCAATTTGGGTCACTGGGGTCGCCAGGGCTCATGTCCAACAATCAATGTGCGAGGGGCGGGGTACACCCTGGACAGGTCTCCAGTCCATGACAGGGAC